TAAGGTGGCCAGAGTTTGTGCTAGTGGTTTTTTTATATAATGAGGTGATAAAAGTGTTTTTACTATAATCTCCGAGAACATCTGAGAACGTGAGTTTGTTTTTTGACTAACATCGTAGGTAAAATTAAGGACGGAGTTTTTTTTTCAAAAGTGTATCTATTTCTTTAGTGTTATTTTTAATATATATATATATATATATATATATATATATATATATATATATATACACATACATACATAAACGCACACATATTCACACACTCACAAACAAACTCACACACACGTACACATTTATATAATTATATATGTTATGTATATGTATATATATGATATAACAATATATAATTTTGTATAATTGTGTATGTCAACAAACAGTATTTAGAAAAATAGTATGACAAATTGGAAATAAGTTTTCGTGATGCGCTTCATCCGTTAGGATTTCATCTGACTGGGCTTTGTTGATGTTGTCACGTCTACACATGCTAGTTTTCAAATTTTTGAAAGAATATTTTTGAAAGAATAAAGACAAAATAAACTGTATTCTTTTTGTTTTTCTCTTCATCATCTTTTCCCCTGATTATCCTATATTATGATAACTGAAAATCTACCAAGAATGTTGATATATAAGAGCCTGGACGCTAATTTACTGTGGCTGAAGTAGCTATCAAGGGACTTCCCAGACATTTTCGTGTAAGTGGATTATTTTCTCTTTTAATCAAACTGGCAAAAAAACCAATGCGTTTTATTGGTTATTTTTTAAAATGTCCCTTTTGTGTTCATATAGTTTTTTGTTTAACTGAACACACACACAAACACACACACACACAAATATATATATATATATATATATATATAATTATTATAAAAATAGTTATAACATAAATATGTTATAAAATCACTACAAAATAGCCATTTTGCTTCAACACCCTCGGTGTCTTAACAAGTGATGATGTTGAATATAAAATAAATGGTTTTAAAAGTTTCAAATTAATTAACGTTCCTTCGCTAGAGGAAAACATTGTTACAAAAGCTAGAATGACCAATCAAAACCCAAGTATAGGAAGATTCAAAAGCTTGACAAGAAAATCATGTTATAATAGCTATTCAGATCTTTAAAATACGGGTAATTTTAAAAATAATTTATTCTAACCAATAATTATTAAATTATATGATACAATTTGATATTAAAATTAAAAACTGCCAATTTTAAAATCCAAATTTAATCACTATTAAGTTTAAAAATTATAAAATTACTGAGGAGAAAAGAAAAAATACATATGTTATTCAATTTGAAAATAGTTTCATTATATATGAGGCGAAGGAAAACAGGATAAAAATAAAACCTACAGAAATAAGTGTACTGTCATACGTATATACATATATACACATATATACACGCGGCAGCAAACACAAACTAACACACATAGACATACATACATACATATACATATATATATATATATATATATATATATATATATATATATATATATACAAATACATACATATAAATATATAAAACATAAACATATACACATATATACATATCTATGATAATAAGTACACATACACATACATACATATAAACATATATAAACACATATATAGACACATTTATGCACACATACTCACATATATATATATATATATATATACATATATACACGCACCAATACACATATGAACATATATACACACATAGACTAACTACTGTGGCAGTAATGACATACCAAAGTTTCCATACCAACACATACTCACAAACAATCTCATATATAATAGGTGTCAACACACACGTATACATCCACAAACATACATATATATATATATATATATATATATACACATACATACATATCTACATGCAAACATATACATAAATATACCTATCTATAATAACAAGTACCAATATATACGTACATACATATAAATACAACGACATTCAACCAAATACATATATAAACGCACATACATATACATACATAAACATACATCCAATGTATACTTGTATATATATATATATATATATATATATATATATATATATATATATATAGTGTCCCCTAAGAATGTACTCATATTTTTACTTCGTATAACTTTTTTTTTTTTTTACTTTTTTCAAATCAATGCATTTAATTTAATATTTCATTTAAGCCATAACTTTTTTGTACGCCAAGTATTAATATTACTTAATTTTAACTATTAATCCTGTTTGATAGTCAATAAGCAGTGAATGTATTTAAAGACTGAATACATATATAAGTTAGTTTCGTAAGCATACTTCTTTGGCTTCGGCTGAGATAGTTTTTCAAAAAAAATATTTATTTCAAGCCCTAAGGCGAATCTTCTAAGCAGTACTTCTCCTTTGGGAGGGGAGAGGGGTCGTTACCCCGCGGCTGAGATGTTCCCAAAAGGGAAGTTCCGAGGGGATTAAACAATTTTTCCTCGGTATTTCCTTTAAACCCAATTTGAACTGACCTAGTGTCACATTCGGTATCGAGGCGGGCACAGTGAAAAATATACATATTTACTCAACTTGCACGATGCCAAACCTTTCATAATGTGCTGATACGAAAATTTGCGTAATATAATTTTACAGAACTTTGTATTTATTGATACCAATGAATCTTTTTTGTTTAGAAAGTGCTAAAGTTTGAAGCCAGTCGAGAATTAGCATGGGATGAACTTGAGAGAAGAGAGAAAACAGTAAAAAGAAATCCTAAAGTCATTAAAAACAGATTAGAAGCAATAATTAAACTTATACTTTGAGAAACTTTTGCAACAGATACCAAAAATTTGTGCTGCAGTCAATAAGGCTAAAGGAGGATATTTAGAAAAATTAATCATAAAATGCTTTTTTCTTTTTGTCTTAATTAAATTTCTGATAAAAAGTCGTGTTTCACAAATTTAACCATGTAACTTCATATTATATTTAAAGCACAAAACAGCTACTTTTGGAGACAATTTTAAAAAAATTACCAGCGGTAGCGTCAAACATTTATACTAGTGTGTGTATATATATATATATATACATATGCATATATATATATATATATATATATATATATATATATATATATATATATATATATATATAGATATATATATATAAGAACGGCTCCATCAGATTATTCGACCTGCTGTTTCACACTAAATGAATTGGGATTAAGAACTTATCAAGAATCACACGCAAACAGGCACATCTGCGTAGAGATTCGCACAGTTATTCACTAAGCGGTACAAAAGAAAGTGAAGACAGTCTATCACGAAGACTTTTCATCTGAAGATATATCGTGGGAAAGATATTGCAGTCAGAAGAAATAAATCATAAATGCAAGATATATTAACCAACAAAGACTGGATGAAATCATGTCCGTCGAAATACCCACAGATGTCCTCGTTTATCTCCCTTCCTTTCGAAAGAGGCAGACATAGAGATTATGTGTTTCACGCATGCTCACTCTTTATTATGTGTTATTGAACAACTCTGGGTCTGAGATATGGAACGACAATGCATCACGTATTCTTTAGAGGCTCACGCAGATCTGCAATCGCGAATAAATAACAAGACACGAATTCATGTTTGTAGGGACAAATAAGATATTATTCAGTTGCAGTGGTGCACAAATAATGTATAAATGGAGACTCTCTTTCTGGCTGAGATTTCTCATAAAATGGAAACGACATGAACGACAAAATGTCCACACAATGAATTTGAATAGATTAACGTTTTGCAAAACTGATACATAGAAGGATGAACATGAATGTTTCAGATTGATTATATTCTTATCAAACAGCATCACTCAGATGAGCAACCATAGAGAAAAAGACACGTGCATTACATAAGTAGTCATATTGGTACAAAAATAACGCGCACGATAAAATTTCACGTCCTTAGAGTCAGATACAGTTGCTTACTTGAAAGAATTACGTAGCATCTTAATGTTAATGGTTTATAACAATTGCTTTCTACGTCTCACCTTCTCTCTCTATTTCTCACATATATACACGCATACACACACACACATATATATATGTCTCTCTCTCACTCTCTCTGTCTGTCTGTCTGTATCTCTCTCTCTCTATATATATATATATATTTCTAAAGATTTAAGGATTTTTATTTTTTTAAACCTCATATTTTCTTTATTATTTCCTTTGTTACGTTTTCTTTAGTGCGCGGGCTAAAGTATAAAATAATCAAAATCTAGAAAACGGAGCGTCTACTTAAATACGGGTATCCAAGTAGGAATAACGTTGGAAGAAATAAAATATGTCGGATTAAAAATAAAATTCATTGATACATACAATATAGATGTATACTGATACCCCTAACATGCACATATATACATATATAAAACTTATATATATATATTATATATGAGCATCCAGACAATCATACCGAGTGTAACAGCAAACTTGTCCAATTTTCAGTTTAAGATTTGCACCGTTGTATCTTAGAAATGATTAAAAATATCTTACTGGAATTTCCCAAGATCTTTATGACTCTATTGGGCTCTGCGTTGAACAATAAGAATCTATTTAGCTCTAAGCTGAAACGATGATCCCTCTTGCTGTTATGAACTCATGATTCAGTTTTCCTTCTTACTGTTCCCATCATTTAAAACATTTCACCGTTCACTTGATAGTTCTTGAGTCGACTTTGAAAATGGAAGCCAGAGTATGAATGTTGATCTGCTTCCTCTCACCATTGCTCAATTGGGAAGACATAATATGGCTGACACAAAACGATTTAACCTATTCTCTCTCTAAATAAGTTAAAGGGTTTTACAGTGATTCTTACGACAAAGGGCTTCAAGATGGCTAAACGTCCTATCTGAAAACCTTTAAAAAAGAGACTCAATTAGTTTAGTGTTTTTTTTTTTTTTTTTTAGATATTAAACATTTTGTGCGATGGGCAATTATCGAATGCTGTTATACGATTTGGACAATTTTGCTGTTACACCCGGTACATATATGTTTCTAGAGAAGGACAGAGAGCGAATAAACAACAAGCAAATCATAAAGAAAATTGAAACAGAATGAAAACTTCTACAAAGAACCAGAAAAAAGCTTACATTCTTTGGACCCATAATGACAAATACGGCTTAGAAAATTTAACCCGTACGGAGAAACAGGGAAAGGCAGTGATTCACTTATCTGAAGACACATACAGAATATTGTTATGGAAAACACTTTTAAAAGGTATAAAAATCTGGTAACTACATGCTTCAGCTTCATGATAAACTCGATCATCAAATCTAACATTATGGATAATAAACAAATTAGGGTAATTTGATGTTAATTATAGTGATTTTCCAAGCGTAGCTTAGATATGGCACAAGGCGGAAAGCATGGGACACCCAGTGAGGATCGAACTCACTACTCAATCGTAATTGTTCTAGCGAGACAAACAAGCTTGCTAACCGTTACACTGCCTGGAGATGCTCAATATAGTGATTTTCCAAGCGTAGCTTAGATGTGGCATAAGGTCGAAAGGATGGAGCACCCAGTGAGAATCGAACTCACTACTCAGTCGTAATTGTTCTAGCGAGACAAGATTGTTAACCATTACACCACATCAAGGTGCCCAATTTGAGGTTAATTATAAGAAAAAAAAACACTGCTTAAGAAACGGCCACTCAGTCTGTTGGAAATATAACCTCCATACATTGTGCTATTTACTTAGATAGGCAAACCATATGCGTGATGAAGAAATTTCTGATTTTCATTAAACAATCGAGATGGGGATATTGACCTGAAAAGAAACTACAATGCCCACTGCGATGCGACGATTGCAGATCACACACCAATCAAGGCAAGCTAGAAAGTAGTTAGTGACAATGTCCCACAAATTCTGGATTTTATTGATTCATTTGTTTTTCACGGTTTATCAACCTCTTTCTGGTTATTTAAAATCAGAAAATATTTTTAGATTGTAAGAATTATTTTGGTGATAAGAATGATTTACTTATACAAGTCCTACTAATTAACCCATACCAGGAGGAGAAGAGGTGAATTCATACATTTCCAAGGGGTATTTGTGCGTAAGTGAATATAACAAACTCGTCTGGAATAGAAATTTCGTTACCGATTTCCTATTCGAGCCATTATCCATTACAATGCATACACATCTTTGCTTACATCATTTGGTATTCCCACGCGTCACCAATCTAGCTACTGACCAGGCTCGACTTTTGTTAGCTTGGTGATTGTAAAAGAATCGATGTTTCAACGTTATATGGCCGGAAATCTCACAAATTTTATTAATAAACTCGCCCCAAAAAAGTCATCCAGTTTTTGGCCATGCAAAATTGTACAGACCTGAATTTGATATTTTAAAAGTCATTTTAATAACATAGGCCTACATCCGAATTTTAATGGCTTTATATTTGATAGTAATCAGTTTAATAACTTCGTTGTTTTTATTTTTACATTTTTGTATCTAGTGTCACTTTGACTTTTCAAAACTGTTTGCAAAACCATTTCGGAATCGCACGGCAACGCGTTGCATAGTCAGAAATCTTTTCCATATTTGAAAAGTGATTTTAACATTAGGAAAAAAAACAGACGTAGCAGAAAGCCAACTCTGAAGAAGACAGATATATATATAGATAGATAGATAAAATTTACAAATCGAGATAGATAGAGAGATATGGACAAACTGATGTAGATAGATATAGAAAAAAGTGTATAGATAGATAGATAGATAGATAGATAGATAGATAAAATTTACGAACCGAGATAGATAGATAGATAGATAGATAGATAGATAGATATGGGCAAACTGAAGTAGATAGATATAGAAAAACTGAAGTAGATAGAGAGATAGATAAAATGTACAGACCAAGATAGATAGATGGATTGATAGATAGATAGATAGATAGATAGATAGATAGATAGATAGATAGATATGGACAAACTGATGTAGATACATATAGAAAAAAGTAAATAGATATATATATATATATATATAGATAGATATGTAAAAACTAAAGTAGATATATAAGGAAAAAGTGAAGTAGATAGCTGTTAATAAACCGTGGGAGTTCTCTAACAGAAAAGTCTCTGATCAGAGTGAGTCATATACATAGATAGACATGGACGCTAGTGTTTTGTGTGTACTTCACAAAAGACCATGTCTTTTAACTATATATCCTGAAAATCAATCGACAGATGTGTATGTTTTGATATGACTGTTTATGTATTCATAATCATTGAGAATTCCATGGTAATCGATGCACATATATCAGTCAATCAGTTTAAGATCTCAGTTTCAAACATATTTAACAATTTAAACGTATGAATAACTGATTCACCATTCTTACCTCAGTAAAGAATATATCCATTGTATGATAACAGGCACTCCATCATTTCGGAAAAGGCGCTTCCTTTGGCAGTGGTCCCAAAAGAAACAGCAGTAGAATGTCAACGTTTCAGGTAAAGAAAATTCCCGTGTTGGTCTCAACATTAGACGTTCGTGAGTTACAAAAAAAGGATTCTTTTGCCAAATAAGAAAAAGAAAGAAAATAAAATTTCTAGGCCACCTTTTCGACTCATGTTTAATTCTACACTCTTTCCTTTCTTTTCTTTCCTTCCCTCTCTCCCTCTCTCTTTCTCTCCCTTCCCCCTCCCATCGGACTCCTTCTCTCTTTCTCCTTTTCCCATCAACAAATTTTCTTAAATATTATATTATTTTTTTCTTTTCTACTCTTTTAATATAAAAATATTTTCCCTTTGCTTTTTTTCTTTTTTCTTTCTTTCTCTTCCTTGCTAATTTCAATCTGGCCTTCCGATTCTTCCTGCTGATAAGTGGTTTACATATTGTGTTTTGGCCTCCGTATTTAGGCTTTCGAAGTCTTCTTCGAACGATGGATTGTAAAACCTTCACTCTTGCACTGTGAAAGTTGTCGATGAAGTCACTGACTGCTGTTTTTGTTTTCCTCACAGCTCTAAAAATATTTGTCATCATATTGTGAGACCGGAAACTACCTGCACAATAGACTTTTCCAGGCCTATATTAAGTAGGCGACATAGCACTCTAGAGCGTGACAGAGAGAGACAGTGAGAGTCTAGTACGACTACCAGTGTTGGGCACTAACATATAGTAAGCTCCGCTTACACTATCTCTGTAACCTGTTGTTAATATATCTTTCTTACATCTAATCCGTGTTTTCCTTCTGTGCTCCCGACTTTGGCCCCACATCAGTGGCGACGAGGATTCGAGAAACGCACTCACGGCGAAACCTAAATATCACGTCGAAAAACCGCAATACTTTGCCAGTCCCACAACAATGTCGACAGAAAGATTCGAGAATTTCGTTCTCACCATATCAATAGCGACAGTACTCGAAAAATACATATAAACTACACGCGTTCCCACGGCAGCGTTGAACGAGAAACATTGGTATTACTACATTAGCGATTTAAAAGCTAAACACCCAGCGTCTACATATATTCCAATACCAAACAGCAGTGACGAGCAGTGTTTCGACATCTACGGAATATTAAAGTCTGTCCAAATAACAAGAACGATTTCTTACACTCCCCCACAAAAACAGTTGTTCATAAAACAAACTGGCAATACAAGAGCGAGGTACTACCATTGTACTCAAGTTTTGGAAAAAAAACACTCGAAAAATTTTTTTTTATGTAACTGAGTTGAACTCGGGCATAAAAATATTCTCCCCTCAAATTCACTGAGGTGAGTTTTCTCTTTTTATAACTCTATATAAAATATACATAAGTGTGGTGAAAATTTATTCAATTACGTTAAAATTAACGGAACCACGGGGAAAAAAGCTAAACACATAATTAGTTTAGTTTAACTATGGTCTGTCATATTTTTTTTCTGTAAAAGAAAAAAAGAACAAAAATCTATCAAGATTTTTTTTGTGCACCTCCTCTTAGTACACGTGTTTCAAAGCAACAAAAAAAGCGCTGCCATTTTTAAATATGGAAGATTTGCAAAAAGTAATTGCCCAAATGTTAAAACTAAATTTGGATCAGCAACAAAAATCAGAAGAAAGACAACAACAACTATTTTTGGAATTACATAAACAACAAATGGAATTCCAACAAATTACGCTTCAGAATGCTGAACTACAACAGAAACAACTTAAAGAATTACTCGTAAATGCATTAAAAGGCTCAAACTCTGAAAAAGATACAATATTCTCCTAGAGTACAATCTACAATTCAATGGAAACCTTTTGAATATTTACCAGAGAACGATTAAAAACGTTGGACGCCTTTTATAGGCGCTCCATGAAGATATTTTCAACGTAGACTGTGAACAATGGTCCAGTAAAAAGAAGGTACATATTTTTTTTATTTTACATGATATTTTTGGTGTTATTTTGTTTTAGTTTCACTCATATATGTTTAGAAAACAGTGTGCTTTTCGCGTATTTTCTATTTTTAATGGATGTTTTCTGTGTGTTTTTTTATATGCTATTATAAACAGAGCTTTTACTTAAATATTTGTATCTACAAAACGAACGAATAAACATAAAATGTCTTAAAATAATTTTCGAACTTTGTCCATTTCATAATGTGTTACGTCATTTGTTTACAATTGATTACGCATCGACCAGATATGAATGTACGTGAGAAAATCATGGAGAATTGTAGTTTAAAAACAGTAAAATCGACCTTGCTAACCGAAACGCTCCTCTGTGGCTCAATCGGAAAAGCACGTCAGGCTATATGACGGTTCCGTATAGGATACAGGTTCGATTCATGTCGGAGGACGCATATTTTCTATGAAAATTTCTCGGACAATCCAGGCCGGTAAATGTTAATACTGTTTGTTACAAACAGAGCATTTACTCAAATATCTTTATCTATAAAAAGAACGTATGAACATAAAATGTCTTAAAATAATTGTCGAACTTTGTCCATTTCATATATATATATATATATATATATAATGTTTCTTCACTGTTTTGTGCTATTGTATTTTCTGTTTGTTTTTGGAAGTTTTACCATCATTTAAGAGGGATTATATATTTTCAATGAAGTTGTTGGTGTCCACTATGATTATTCCGGCTCTTTTATCGGATAGGATTGTAATTATTCTTTAACTTACATATAAGTTTTTAGGACTAGAAGTACCTCCTGGGTAGTGTTGCTTCTTCGTTATTTCTCAGGGTGGTGACTATGATATTCTGAAATATAAAGAAAACATAAAAGAGAACAAAGAATATAAAACAGACTTACGTTGGGAGAACCCTTTAAACTCGTAATACACTGGAACACAACTGGCCATAAATTGGCTTTCGTAAATGAGCTTTAATTATAAGAGAACATAATTCTTTATACAGGAAATATTTCAAGGGAATCCTGATAAATATTTTACGATCTATAAACACACTTCAAACACTATATCCACTTTTATAAAATTCATGCTTAATAAATCTAAGATCTACTACTACTTCAATCACAACTAATGCTACGTAAAAAGATGTCAAAACAACTTGCGGACAACCGCCAAACATAACTAACTATTACTATTAATACTATTACACGAACACGCACATATATACAAAATAATATTCATTATCATCCGAATCCAGTATAGACAAACTTCAATCATGATGCACTTACACACATAAATTATACACACGTACGTTGCTTGACATGGCAAATGACCATGAAGTCTGCTCACTCAATGAAAATCACACAACAGAAAAATTTTAAGTATCAGATTTTTCTTTCTTTCTTTTTCTCCATATCTCATTCTCTATTGAAACTTTAGCGAAGCATATTAAATTTATAAACGTTTCTTATTTGATCATCATCCTATCATAATTTGAAGTAGAACGAAGAGGAAATCGCTTAACTCATGTCTTAAAAGAAAAAAAAAACGCACAGTCTTGATAAACTACTTAGAACCTTTTCATTTTCCTTCTATTAAGCCATCGATAATTTCTTTATAAATGCATATAATTCAATTATTAATATTAATTACATATAATAACTATTGTACATTTTAAAATTTCATACGAACATTCACTTAATAAGTTCGTGTTATAAGATAGCAAATGAATTATATAAAAAAAAAAAAAATCTAATTCCTGCAATATATATTTTGGGCATAATTGCGCTCCTTTTTAAGGCACTTACTTCTGTCAAACATATATCCATTATATCGTCTTATTTTGAGAATATAGAACTTTAGCTTAGAACAACTTTTCAGGCTGCGTATTTATTGGTCCGGTCTTTTATACATTGCACTTACATTTATATTCCTTTACTATGATTTGTGCTTTTATTATGATTTACAAAAAAAGTTTAAAAACTAAGATAAATTTATGAAACGCATATTTTATACCTTACTTTACCGCATCCAGTATATTAGGTCTCTTTAAAAATACGTCACGTCTACATTGTATTGACACTTATAAATTAGTTTAATCTTTGCAGTGTAAACATTTTTGTCACGCAATTATTTTCATAATCTTCTGATCAAACACCTTTATTTTGGCTGATGCTCGGAAATTGGCGGAGAATACAATTTATGTGTACTTAGCACATTGCAAACTGTAAATGGAGAATAATTTATTTTACACCGAAACTTATTAAATGAAAAAAATATATTTATTTTCCAAAATTAAGTAACTAATTTTATAATTTTTTCATCTCAGCTGGAATCTAATAGAGAGAAAGAAAAATGCTGACATCAGTTCGGTTCATCACAATGACGACTATGGAAGGAAACTTTCAACTCAAGGTGAGAAAATTATTGAGTACACTTTCACAAAAACAAAAGCAAGGTTACCCTCTGCAATCACCATCACAGGCACAGATTTAATGTAGATCTTGTTTTTTAGAGAAGTAGAACTATTTCTATTTCTATATTTATGTTTTTATGCAGACACACACACACATATACACATATATATATATATATATATATATATATATATATATATATATATATATATATACATTTCTGTATATTTCTATATTTTATACAAGTACAGCAAAAATTTAGACCATATATAAATGAAATTTAATTTTATGTTTTCTTTTAATCAAGTAGAGGATCTTATAACATTCAAAGTTGACAATCTAAATCAAGTGGAATATATTTTATATCTGGGATCATATCTACCTCGGCCATCCCCACCCCAGCGCACATAAACACGCGCCATGGGCACCTGAAAAGGTGGTAATGGTTAGGAAGTGTTTCTCACTAGAACAAATACGACTGAGGAGTCAGTTCCATACTTACTAGGTGCCCCATTCTTTTGGGTGATTTTATTGGATGTATTTACTCTTTAGGTTTTCCAGATATTTTGTGTAATTTTGAAAAACACAGGGTGCGATTAATAACTTGTCATCTCAATTACGCAAAAATGAAAATAATACTGAAAACATTTTTTTTTACATATATATTTAAAAAATTACACAAAAATATCTTGAAATACTAAAGAGTAAATTTATTTAACAAAATCGCCATTGGCTTCAATCCTAGCCTCCAGAGGACTTCGGAATCCTCTGTAACTCTTCTGGGCAGTCTTGTTTAATTTCGCGAATGCTTCTATAATCCTTGTCTTCAGTTAATCTTTGGTGCTACAAGTAGTTTTTTTGGTCTCTCACTCAACTGCGCCAACACATAATAATCAAGGAGGTTGTAGTCTTGGGATTTAGGTAGCTAGATGTAAAGGGGGATGTGATTGTAGAAATTTCTCTTGCTTGTGTGGCATGGTGTAGAGTCTTGTTGTCAGAATCTTTCTAGCAGCGACCTTCTTGACGAAAGATAGCACTACCTTCTCAAGGCACTTGATGTAGGTCTCCATGTTGAGTCGCGGGCCCTCATCAACAAATTCGCGAGTTCTTTTTTTATCAGAACGATCAGAGTGAGTTGTTCGAGCTGCTGAAACTTAGTAATCACATAGAACTTTATTAGATTCATCCAACTGTTTTTCGAACCCTCAGCACAGTCCTCAGATTGACATCAAAACACTCTGAAATGTTCGTATTGGAGATTCCGGCGCGAATGCCAAGAAGTGCAGAATGCCGTTTCTAAATTTCTGGCGGAGTGAATTGCGTCATGATGCTCTTTTTCTCACAGACGGTGCCTAACTATATTATGCAGTCGACAATTTCAAAAACAAACAAGAGAATGGTAGAAATTAAGAATGTATATAATGACGACAATTTACCTAATGCACCCTGTATATATATATATATATATATATATATATATATATATATATATATATATATATATATATATAGAGAGAGAGAGAGAGAGACAGAGAGACAGACAGAGACAGACAGACAATAGAAAGTGATAGATAGATAGATAGATAGATAGATAGATAGATAGATAGATTTGAGATCTTCATTTTTTTCCTTTTCGTTTTCAGGTTAGATTTGTCTGAAATATGTCGTCGAGCAAATTACAAAATCCTGATTAGGAACAGAACTAAACGTTCTGACTGCCCAACTAATTAGCCTTATTGTTGACTTTCACAAAGGCAGAACTACTTCGCTGCTGGAAATATTACATGACAAACCTGATTCCGTTGGAGTTCGATTTTTCCTCGACTGTTTCTTTTTCTTTTCTCTTCCTTGTCTGTTGGCATCTCTCTCTCTCTCTCTTTCTTCTTTTTCTCTCTCTCTCTCTCTTTCTTCTTTTTCTCTCACTCTCTCTCTCTTCCTACCTGTTTTTCTCTCCTTTATATTCATCTTTCCTCTTTCGCGTTTCCATGTGTGTTAACGTTTCTATCATCGTGTCTCTTTTATTCGTCTCTTTTTCCATCATTTATTGGTATTTATTAATCTTAATTTAATCTCACACCAGGCATAAGTACAGGATACCAAGGGAAATTGAATTCGCTATATACTTTAACTAACTTGTTAACCTTTAAGGCCAAAACATCGAAGCCTTCATTGCGGAAATATCTCACTACTGTGATAATAGTTCCGTAGACAAGTATACACACCGATGCTGTTTCATACCGATGTATTTTAATTCTTTACCAAGTTTGATTTTATTCATGTTTTATTCGCCTTTTCTATTCAGTACGTGACTGACCATAGCTCTTCACAAATTAATGTCTTCTGGATCTGAAAGCATTGTTTTTTTGTTCACTTAATATTCATATGACTATGCACGAAGTACAAAAAGACAGAATTCATGGTTATCAGCAAAAGGATGAAACCAAAACGCAAATTAAAAGTTAGGGATACTAAAATCAAACAAATATAGAAATTTAAATATCAGGGAAGTGTTCTAACAGAGAACGAAAAGTGCAACACTGATATTCAAAAACACATTGGGATGGCCAAAGATGCATTCTAAAAGTTAAGCAGAGTATTAAGAGGACAGAAAAAATCTTTAGAAACAAACAACCGAATTGTTACGTGATATCCATCCTTTTATACGGCAGTGAAGGCTGGAAAATCTCCTCAAAGATGAAGAGACAAAGCAGCAGAAATGTGGTTTTACAGAAAGATACTGCGAATAACAAGGACAGAACATGTGACCCACGAAGAGGCTTTAGAGAAAATGGGAAAATCATACCTAACATCAAAAGAGGCAGTTGAAATTTCGGGGGAACGTAGTGAGGCATGACGTCTTGGAAAACCCGATACTCACAGAACAGATCGAGGAAAAGGCGGACAGAGGAAAGGAACGCGTAACATATTTGCTGGGCTTGAGCAAATGGATGGTAGAACAAGTTTTATGAGAAATAACAAAATGAACTTATTAATCACCCCAAGGGACAGGAACATGATTGAAGAGACACAGCACATAAAGACGAAGGAAAGCGAGAAGAAAGGACTATATATAAACTACAAGAAGACAGAATGCATGGTTATCAGCAAAAGGATGAGCCCAAAATAAAAATTACAAGTCGAAGGTTGTAAAATCAAACAGGTACCGAAATTTAAATATCTATGAAGTGTTCTAACAGAGGATGGAAAGTTCGACATTGAAATCCGAAGATATATTGGGATGGTCAAAGATGCATTGCAAAAGCTAAGCAGTGTATTAAGAGACAGAAAAATTTCATTGGATGTGAAGAAAAGAGTACCGAACTGTTACGTAATATCTTTTTTGCATTGCAGCGAATGCTGGACAATCTCCGCAAAGGTGAGGAAGAAACTTGAAGTAACAGAAATGTAGATGATGAGGATACCATGTAACGAACATGTGAACAAAGATGAGGTTTAGGAGAGAATGGAAACAAAAATGAGACTTATATTCTAACATCGGGATCAGGAAAAGGCAGTTGAAATTTCTCGGACAGGTAACTAGGAATGAGGGCTTGGGGAACCTGATCCTCACGGGACAGATTGAGGAAAAGCGAGACAGAGGAAAGCAGCGCGTAACGTACTTGATGGGCTTTAGCAAATGGATGGTAAATGTTGTGGTAGGATCCACCTAATTTGCATAGTGGAGTACCGACCATATAAATATGGTTGGTACGAGAGGAAGGAATCAAGAGATTCAATCCAGAGACTCTGCCCGACTGCGACTAAGTCAACACATTCTCCAGGAACGGTCTTCCCAAGAATATACAAAAGACTATATGTAAATATTGTGTACACTTTCTTGTTTCAATACATTTTGTTCTGAGTACATTTTGTGTTGTATTATTATTCCATGCATTAGTCAAGTTTCAACAGTAAAACAGGGTTTCGGAGAGATAACAAAACGATAAAACTTATTAGGAACTACATGATACAGGAACATGTGGAGGACCATGATCGCCTATGTCCTGAAGGCACACGACACATAAAAGAAGAAGAATCCATCTCTTTTACTGTTCTGTCTTTCATTCACAAAAGGTCGTTCCGTAGTTTGATTGCTGTTCCCATCTGTACCTTTTGCTTTCAATATATCCCGTGAATGACAAATCCTCCAAAATCCATTCCCTCATTGGGCATAACATAAATTTCAATGACCTATTTCTGGTTTTAACTAGGTGTCCTTTTGGTTACCATTTTCCTTAAAATTTCCTCATTGCTCACATCATCTGTCCATGGTATTGTCAGTATTCTTGTATAAAACTACACCTCTATTGCCACAATTCTCTTATATATCTGTGAAACAATCGTTCAGTATTTATTGACATAGGAAGATTAATATTACATAACTTTCGCGCGTTTTCTTAATACTTCATTTAGCTTTTTAACGGTATCTTTTCCTACACGAATGCACCTTCGGTTTTCAGTGTTATATTTCCGACCATCTTTCATAAAACTTTCCAAATATTGGGTTATCCGGAAAGTGCATGCTGATTTTTAGATGCTGAATTTCCAATACATTAAAAGACATAAAATTTATCAACAGATATAATATGCTTACATTTCTGATCAGTGCGCACTTCAAAATATATTTTGAGAAAGAAAGTTTAAAATAACTTATTTCCTGTCAATTTTACATTCCTATGAAAATGGAAGATTATTAGGCGCATGTTTAAACACGTGATGCTTTTTTACCGCAAATGAAAAAATGCCTTGCAAGCAACAAAAAAGATGTGTTGTATACAGTGAAGGTACGTAAGCTGAAAAACTGTCCCTAAGAGATTGGAGTTTGGAGTTGGTGATTGTAGCCTTATTGATGAAGAACGCTCAGGCAGACTCCCGACTACACATGATAACCCAATCAAGGCATTGATTGAGAATAACCCACATTAAACAACGCGGGAATTGGCAGAATCAGTAAATTTATCAAAGTACACCATCCATGAGCACTTAGTAATTCTTGGGTTCTCGAATCGTTACGATGTTTGGGTACCACATGATTTGAATGAAAATAATCTTTTGGATCGCATTTCATCTTTAGTTCGCTGTATAAACATAATGTAAATGTACCCTTTTTGAAGCAAATTGTGTTGGGTGATGAGAAATGGATCGTTTACAACAATGTTCAGCAAAAAAGGCTCTGGGGTAAAGGACAGAGCCAAGTTTACCTACCTTAAAAGCAGGTACTGATCCGAAGAAACTCATGCTGTACATCTGGTAAGTAACCAGTCAATTGATTCTGAAAAGTACTGCTCACAAATGGACGAATTCAAGGCAGCAATCAAAGAAAAACGCCCAGAATTGGCAAACAGGAAAGGCGTTGTTTTCTATCAGGATAATTGAAGACATCACGTTTATTTGATGATCCAGAAAAATTGTTGACGTTTGGCTAGAGTGGGGGGTTATCCCACCCCCATATTCAGTAGCCATTGTTCCTTCAGATTTTCTTTTATTCATGTCCTTGCAAAATAACTTCAATGGTAAAAATTTTAATTTTTTGGATGACATAAAAAAAACACAATGAGTTCTTTGTCGAGAAATCACCTAAATTTCGGGGAGATGGAATCTTTAAGTTGAAGAAAAAAATGGAGAAGAGAAATAATTCATATTTAATTGAAGAAATATTTAATGGCATAAAATTGCTTTGTCTTTTAATTTCCCTTAAAAATCGGCATGGAATTTCGGGACAACCCAATAGTTAAATTTCTGTAATTGGTTTATTTTAATGTTTCCATTTTGTAACTCGCATCGTAGGCTATTCCTCTTGCAAATGACCATACATTTTGTCTAGTTACAACTGATAGCCTTTTCTTCCATCTTTTTTTTTTGTTTCATTGTCTAGAAATACATACAAGTTTGGTTTAGTGTGTTAAATTACCAAACCTGATCATAACAATTCCATACACCTATATGGCTGGAATATACTACAAACATCTCTAGCTTTAATCCTACAACTGTTTCTTTTATTTTTCTTCTTTTTCATATTTTCTGCACTTTTTAAAAATCATATTATCTTCTTTTTTAAATATCTTTTTTTCTGTCTCGCTTTTTCTTTTAGAATCGGATCTCTTGGATTTTATTGTTAATTTGGCTGTTATTTTTATTTTGAAATGCTACTCTCTGCCACCATATCTAATTCTTAAACAAATAGACTTTTCTCAAATATATCTCTCTTTGATTGATTCATTCTTTTGTAGCTTTTTCTATATATTTTATTCGCTTTCCCGATCACTAATTTCCCCTCTTTTATCTTCTCAATTACTTCTTGCTTTCATCATTTACAACTAGACTGCGCATATTTTCCTTCTCTTGCTTCTATTACCACGGCCTCGATTTGTCTTTTCACTCCAAAACTCATCCAGAGGTCAATGAGCATGTCTCTTCAGTTAAATCTTCTTTCGAATGACAGAGCATTGTGCAAAAATAAGCCATCAGGTCAGACGTTATTTATTCAGTGTGGCCTCTGTGGAAATTTTTCACGGTGTTCTCTCTTCGATGTTCTTTGTTTTTCTTTTGGCTTCCTGATATATATATATATATATATATATATATATATATATATATATATATATACTATAGTCTTATGTAG